GCTCTGCTCGATGGCTGCGGGAGGGGATGGCGTGAGACCTTCCTCCACCGCTGACCTCCCCAGGGGCGAGGGGTCCCACTCCCTCCCCGCCTGGCTGCCACACCAAGATGGCCACCGCAGAGGTGGGCAGCCAAGATGGGCAACCCAAGGTTGACCACCGTGCAGGTCACTCTCAAGATGACCACCCCAAGATGACCACCTCCACCATGCAGGTCACCCCCAAGATGGCTGCCACGAGGTCACCTTTCAACTTGGACCGCACTTTGTTCGCCGTCTTCTTGATGTCGGCCGTGAGGTCCTCCAGCTCCTGCTTCGTCTCTGGGGAAGGTGGGGACACGTCACCCCTCTGGTGCCACCCCCCAGTTTCCCTCCCCGTTCCTGGTGCTCCTGCTTGGTGTTCTCCACCCTCAACGTCCCCCCAGGTCCTCCATCGTGTCCTGACCCTCCATCCCAAGTGTCCCCCTGGTGTCCCTCCATCCCATGTGTCCCTCCATCCCAGGAGTCCCCGTGGTGTCCCTCCATCCCACGTGTCCCTCCATCCCGCGGTGTCCCCCGCCCCCTCGTGTCCCCGCTCACTCTCGTCGGGGTTGGGGCCAGCCAGGATGGCGCTGTGCTGCTTCTTCACCTGCTCCACGTCCTCCGACAGCTTCTCGATGCAGCCCCGGATCTCCTCCACCTGCCGGGTGGGGGGATGCGGGGGGACACGGAGGGGTCGTGGGTGTTGTTGGGGGACACCACGGAGGTCATGGGGGTCACAGGGGTCATGGGGGACACCATGGAGGTCATGGGGGTCACGGGGGACACAATGGAGGTCATGGGGACATGAGAGACACCATGAAGGACATGGAAACATGGAGGGACATATGAGATGTATACGGAGCACGTATGGTGGACATATGGGGCAGGTATGGGGACATGAAGAGGACATATGGAGGGACATATAGAGGCAGGTATGGGATGGACATGCAGGACACACATCGGACACGTGTAGGGGGTACGTATGCGGCCCCATATAGGGTCGGGGGGGTGATTTTCCAGGTCCTATAGAGGGTCTGGGAGGGGTCTCGGCCCCATATAGAGTCTATAGGAGATGAGGGAGTCCTGTAGGGTCCATGTGGGGTCTGGAGGGCGTCGTAGAGGGTCTGGGGGCTTTATAGGGTCCATGTAGAGTCTGAAGGGAGTTATATAGGGTCTGGGAGGGGTCTTTGGCCCCATAAGGGGTGTGGGGGCTCTACAGCTTCCATGTAGGGCCTAGAGGGGGCTACGTAGGGTCAGGGGCAGTCTGGGGGCTCCACAGGGGGTCTGGGGGCCCTATACAGGGTCTGGGGGCCC